TGCCCCCCTGCCGGCCTGCACCCCGCTCCCCACTCTTGCTGCTGCTCCCAGTGGCCCACTGGGCCTGGATGTCAGAGGACAGAGGTGGCTTCCAAGCGGAGAGCAGGGAAGGGCCATGGTGGGGTGGCCGCTGAGATGCGGGGAGCCGCGTCTGCGGGGGTTGGAACAGGCGTGTCCCCTGCCCCTCCCCAGCTGTTCCTGCATGAGGCCACCGTGCGCCTGATGGCAGGAGCCAGCCCTACCCGCACGCACCAGCTGCTGGAGCACAGTCTGCGCCGGCGCACAGCCCAGAGCGCCAAGCATGGTGAGTCGGCCGCGGGCACCCCAGCTCTGGGCCGGGGAGGAGCCCGGAGCGCCGTAGGGCTGCTGTGCCTCAGGAGCAGGGAGGGGAGGGCGGGGCCCTGGAGCCACACTTTGTGGGGTACATCTCAGCCCCACCCCCGAACTCTAGGCGGGGTGCTAGCCGCGTGCCCTGCGGGTCATTGTGAACCAGGGAGGGCACCAGAACTCACCTCATTGGTGGGGCGGGGGGCAGGGGGGTCTGAGGTTCAGTAAACGAGCCCCAGCAAGCCCTCGGAACAGCCCCTGCGTCCTGGAGGCCTCCCAGTGAGGGGTTCCTCCTCGTGTCTCGTTCCTGCAGGAGAGGTGGACGCCTGGCCTGGCCAGCGAGAGCGGGCCACCGCCATCCTGCTGGCCTGCCGCCACCTTCCCCTGTCCTTCCTGTCCTCTCCGGGCCAGCGGGCGGTGCTGCTGGCTGAGGCGGCCCGCACCCTGGAGAAGGCGGGTGACCGGCGCTCGTGCAACGACTGCCAGCAAATGATTGTCAAGTTGGGGGGCGGCACAGCCATTGCCGCCTCCTGACCCCCGGGCTCCGCCCACTGCAGCCCCCCCTGCCCCCCTCGCCCTCCTCCCTCTGTCTCTCGGGTCTCTCTCCCTGCTCTCTGTCTAGCTGTCTCTCTCCCTGCTCCCTCTGGGAACTGTGGGGTGAGCCTGGTCTCCTGAGCTGTCGCCTGCCGAGGCGTTGGACCACCTCAACCTGGTAGGCCCCTGGGCCGAGCCCCAGAATCTGCTGCGGAGAGAGGCCTGTGGTCCAGGAGCCCATGGGTCTGGGAGAGGAAAGCCAGGGTAGGCAGGAACTGGGGAGCTCCCTGACTTGAAAGCAGTGGGGGGCTCCCGATCTGCTTGGCTTTTGCCTCCGGCCCTCCACCCTCCCCAGTTCTGCTCTCCCCGAACATCCCCCTTTCCTGCTGCTTGTTTTTTATCAGGCTTTCCCCATGGGGGACATAGGTCTCTGGGCACCAGAGCGCTTCACCCTTGGCACTGGGCCCAGCTCGCCCCCTTCCTCCTTTTTATACAGATGTTTTTATATCCGCGTGCTGGGGTTTGCCGTGACTCGGGGCTGAGCTGCTGCGGCATCTTGATTTCTCTCCTTGAGTCTGTGTCCCCTCCCCGGTGCCTGACAAAGCCAGTTCATTGTTTTCTCTTTATTACACGGGACAGCCAGGGAAGGAGGGGGGCCCGGCCCTGGGGAGGCAAGTGGGAGGCAGGGGGCAGGCCTGGGGTTGGATGAAATAATGTCGGCATTATTTTTTAATTTTCTAAAAAATAAATGGTATCTTATTTAATTGTCCTGTTCCTTCCCGCTCCCACACCCCCTGGGATGCCAGCCCAAGTTCAGGGTAGGCCCAGGGGGCTGGAAGAGATGAAGCTACCCATGGGGCCTGAGGACCGGGGGCCTCCAGTGTGGGCTCTCAATTCCCGCCCACCCCAACTCCTACCTCCACTGTCTATTTTTATCCCTAACTCTTGACCTGGAAATAAGCCGGGGCGGCAGGGACCAGCCCCCAACCCCTCCCCATCCCTTTCTGGGGAGGACACTAGGACTAATGCCCCCTGCCTTGACAGGGGCCCTGGGAGGAAAAGTGCTCCCTTTTCTGGATCCCCCTGGCTTGGCCCTCAGGCCGTTTCTCCCAGGATCCAAGGACTGCGTGAGACCCCAGAGTCTGCTGCAAGGCCGAGAGGGGCTGCCGTCCCTCGCTCCCCGCCTGGGCTGGGGGGCACCAGCAGGGGCTCCCCCTGACTCCCAAGTGCAGGCTGGAATGGCTCAGCTTGGAACCTACCCCCTTTCTGTCTCTGCTGCCCACACACACTCTGATTTGTGGCCCTGCCCCTCCCCCCCGCCCCTCCCCCCAGCTGAGCCAGCCCTTGTGTCATGTGTATATACCGTGCCTTTTCTCATTATTGTCTAGGGGTGGGAGGGGGTGTTTTTCACAGAAAAGGGGATACACCTGTGGTTTCCTTGATATGAAGTCATTCACTGTGTCCTGGATGTAGGTTATTAATAAACACAGATTGGTACCACCCAGCAGGAGGTGTGTGAGGGTCTGTGGTGTGACCGCTGTGATGACAAGCCAGGTGACTGCATGGCTTGGCTTCTGGTGGGTCAGGGGCTGAGGACAGCCTCTCCCTCTCTGCTGAGAGGCCCCTGGAAGGTTCCAGTCGGAAGGACCTTCCTTGCCCCCCACACACACCAGCCCCTTCCTTCTGATGCCCGCTCCCTGGTACATGCTCCCGGGGCCGGGACAGAGCCTGGGATACAAGGGCAGCTGGAGGTACTGCTGGAGGCAGAGGTCCCTGAGGCCAGGACACATCTGGCTGCTCGCAGCAGCAGTGGTTTTGGAATTGGGGTGCTAAGCCCGTATGTGTTCACCCCTCAAGGATACATCTCTCCCCTTCTGGGGGTGCTGCCATTCGCTTTCCTCTTCCCCGCCCGCCGGATGGACTTCCCATCCAAGTCCAGCTCCCTCCCGTACTTCCCAGCTTGGTCACCTGGGGCAGAACCTCACCTCCGCTTCCATGTGTGCGCGACAGGGATGACAGTCCCCTCCTTTAACAAAGTCCCCATAGACCTGTTGGCCAGTTTCAGTGATAGGATAGGTACCAGTTTACAGTTAAGTGCCCTGTGCACCTGCCGAGGGGCAAGACCACTGGGAGCGGTGGGCGGGAAGGGGAGGAATCCGAAGTGACCTGGGGGACAAGCCCAGGTCTGGACCTGGCCTGGCTGAGAAATGAGCCACTCCCCTCTTTGAAGGGCAGTCACAGCAGGCCACACCGTCCCAAGGGCCAGAGCAGCCAGGAGAGGCCCAGCTGCAGCATTTTCAGTGGTGGCCCTGCCGGTAATCCCAGCCTGGCCCCCCTGGGATGGAGATCTAGGGGCCTTGGGACTGCAAATGCCCCCACCTCCCAGCAAAGCCCAGTCGGCCTGTGTCACCAGGGTGGGTGGCTGTGGGTGGCCCATGCGCCCGGGAACCTGTGACTTTTGTGCGTTTTGTGAGTCTCTGCAGGCTCCATGACTCAGCACCCACCCTCCTCCGCCAGCTCTCTGCACAGCTGCAGGATGGGCTGGGGGCGCCCCACCCCCAGTTGAGGGTATGAGGACCAGCTCCCCTATAAGCCACAGGGGTCCTCACTGCAGACAGGACCACAGACTCTTGGCTCTGGTAGGTCCTGCGGCTTCTGGGCCTGGGATTCCTCAGAAGCCAGGAGAGTGAGGTGGGCCCTCCTCCAGGTGAGGAGCTGGGGGCTGGGGGCCCTCCGGGCAGCCCTGCCGGCAGGGGGAAGACAGACTGCCTGTTCCTCGCGAGCAGCACCGCCCCACCCCAGCCCTTGCCCGCACACACATTCATACTTTCCCGCTTCCTCGGACTGCCCTGCCCGGCCCTGCCCTGCCCTGTCTGCCATTCATCAGACACACGGCAGCAAAAGACAGCAGAGTCCTTAAACTGCTCAGCTGGGTGACCTTGACAAGCTACTCAGGTCTCAAAACCTCAGTTTCCTCATTTTTAAAGGCACACACCCGTAGAGCTTCTGTAAGGATTAAATAAGAGACGCAGCAACAGAGGGTGACCGTTGTTACTAACAGTGTACCATGCCTAGGCTACACGGGAGGGAAACTGAGGCCCAACTGGTTGGCTTTGGTGATGTCCCACAGTGAGGGGCATAACCCAGACCTCAACCTCCCCAACAGTCCGTGGCACAAAGAAACTCGTATGCCCAGGCTGCTGGCCATGCCCTGAGACACAGTGAGGTACCCAGGCTTGCCTGGCAGGAACGGGGAGAGCTGGCTTAGCCGAGCATGTGTGAGCACCCCCCAGTGGGGACACTGCCAAGGCTCTGTGTCCAGCATCCCCATTCGCTTTCCCCCCAGAGCAGCTACTGGGAGGAGGCTCCCCCATCCTGAGCACCAGCTGTCTGCTTGGCCCACTGCCCACACCCATTAGGGGGGTGGCCCTGGACCAAGCTGGCCAAGTGGCCTGCAAGCCAGGTGCCGGCTCAGGGCCAGATTATGTCAATGAGGATCAGCCGGGCTCAACCAACTCAAGACGAAGAGTGAGTGAGTGGCTGGAGCGGGGGACACCTCCAGGAAGGGGCATGGACCCTCCATGGGGCCTCGGGCCCCGACAGGCCTCTCCCCTGCGCTCTGGAGCCCTGCGATGGCTGGGGCGCAACTCCCACGGCTCCCACTGGTGCGGACATTAAGCTTGGCACTCAACCCTGACTACCCTCTCCAGCCACCTCTCCCTGGCTCCCAGAACACGCGCCCGCAGCTCTCAGGAGCCGTCCTTTGCTCTTGCACATGCTGGGCCCTCTGCTCAGACCGCCGTCTGTCCAGTCAATGACCAATGCTTCCTCCATCAGTGCCTCTCACCGCCAAGCTGGGGCTCCTTTATTCTCAGGGATGGGAGCCACAGAAAAAGGCTTTATTTACATGAGGAACCCGGGCCCTAGGACCCCGAGAACAGAGCCACTGGCTTTACGCTTTGGGCCCCTTCTTAGCCCTGCAGGCTCCAAGGCCCCAGTCCAGTCTGGGCGGGCGTAAGGAAAGGCTGGCCTTCCACGGGCGCCGCCCCTCCTCCCCCGGAACCGGCCCAAGGCGCCCCCCAAGGCAGACGAGGGCCCCCGGAGATGCGATGGCTCAGGAGAACCAGCGGCCCCCGTCTTCACACGGTGACCTCGGCTTTGCTGTTGGTGCTCAGGTGCCGGGGTCCGCGGCCCGCGCTGCTGTAAAGGCCAGGGGGCTGCGGGCTGAAGGCCTCGGGGAGCTTCTCCACGCTGAACTGGCGCCGGGGCGCATGGCCGGGCCGCCGGGGTGCGGGGGAGGCCTGAGCCGCCAGGTGGCCGCGGGGGGCCGGCCGGGCCTGGCGGCTGGCGACCCAGGCCTTGTAGTGGCCGGACCGGGCAAGGCCGGCGGGGGGAGCGTAGCCCGGCGGGGCCCAGGGGCAGGCGTCGAGCAGCGCCGGCAAGTCCTCGCGCGGCCGCGGGACCCGCGCCGGGAGGGTCAGCGGGGCAGGGTCGGTCGCGGGAAAACGCTGGTAGAAGTCCTGCGGGGTGGCTTCTGCGGGGACACCGGGGGCGAGCCAGAGAGCGAGGTCAGCCCCCGGAGGCGGGGCCCGAGCGACTCCGGGAATGGGGTAGGGAGAGGCCAGGCCGCAGGGGCGGAGCCTCAGCTTCTTTGGGCGGAACTGGGCGGGGTCACGCCTCGGGGGCGGGGCCCCGGCGGCTTGCGGGCGGGACAAGCCAGGGACCCGCCTCGGGACTCGGCGGGTCTCCAAGTCCCGGGCTCGGCTGCGGCCGTGGGGGACTAGCCGGGTGGCCTGGTGAGGGAACGGGAGGTCGAGGCGCGGGAGCCGACCGGCTGCGTAGGCGCGATAAGGACGCTGGCTGGAGCGCCGACCCGCAAGGCTGGGAACCGCGGAACTGCAACCGGGACCCCAAGCCTTGCTGTAATCTGGGAGCTTAGATACCTCACCTGCGGCCTTGAGCCCGCCTGCCTTGAGGGTGGCGTACTTGGCGAAGTCGGGCTGCAGGGTCATGCTGCCACCGCCCTGCAGCCTGGGGCCACGCGGGGGTCCCGGTGTTGCTGACCCCAGGGGCACGTTGTTGGGGCGCTTCTTATCTGGAACGGGAAAGGGAAGGTGAGACCCGGCCTGCTGGCTGGAGGACACTCTCCACCGGCACTAGCACTCTTTGTCCTCGCCCCAACTGCAGTTCAAGGAGAGCTGGTGTGGTGGCTGCTTGGGGAGACGGATAGAGGAACCTGACTCTCCAGTGCCTGGGGCAGGGGCCTGGCCCGGAATAACGTGGATGACAGCAGCCAGCCCCGAGCGGCTGCGGCCCAGTGGATGACTCCCCAGCATGTTCAGCCTGGGCCAGGCGCTGAGTCCCAGGACCTGCTTCTCATGAGATGGAGTTAATGTCTGAGAATCAGAACCCATGGGGGGGGTGCGGGGTGTTGTCTCACCAACAAGAGACCAAGAGGGAGGCTCTAGCCTGGAGAAAAAGACCCAAAGGAGTCCACAGGTTGGTGCCAGGCAGTCCCCCTGGGTATGGATCCAAGGCCTAGAGCCACAGCCTGAGCCAGGGATCCCTGAGTCTGGACCCTTCCTCACCAAGTCCCTGTGACTGGAAGTTGCAGGACACCAAGCGGGTCTCCCTTCACCAAGGGGAGCTGACCGGCGTGCCCAGCCCCCACTCACACCCCTGCAGAGGCCACAACTCATTCCAGTCGCCAGTCAGCTAAGAGCCTCTTCCCTCTCAGCCCCTGCCTTCTGCTCCTCCCAGGCCCTGTGCCGGTCCCCCAGCTTACACACCTGTGTTGTTGGGGGAGCTCCGGGGGAGGCCATCACCCATCTGCACCTGGACACAGCTGCCCAGAGGTGGGCCCAGGGGTGGAGGCAGTGGCTCCTGGGGGTCCGGCTGCTTCAGAAGTTCTGTGAGTGTCCTGTGGGGAACAGGGATGAGAAGCAGCCCTCCCAACCTCCTACTTCCCCACTGGCCAGGCGGGGCCTATCCAAGATCAGCCGCCACACTCTGTCACTCTTTCAACCTCTGTGGGCCTCCCTTCTGTCCTGTGGTTGATCTCACACATCTAGTTTCCACATCTGGTTTCCCCAACCTGGCCACTTCCAGGGCAGATCAGGAAACTCTAACGGGTTCACCCTGCTTCTCAAAGACTCCCCTGCTCCCAGGGTCCATTCATCAAGACCCGCAGGGTTGGGCCTCCTCTCCCCATGAAATCTCCGCAGGTGTACCAGGTGTACCAGGCCCTGGATTTGGCCTGTGCCGGCACTGGCGCCCTGTGCCAACAATTCTCCTCCATCTCCTTCCGCAAAATTCCTACTCATTCTTCAAACCCCACCAGAATCCCTCCTCTTCCAGGAAGCCTTCTTCACCTGCCAACCTAACTCCCTTCCTGCAGCAGGGGCTTCTGCTGGGTCCTGGGACAAAGCTGCCACACAGGCACAGAGGGGAGGACAAATAGGTAAAGGGTAGGAGGAGCCAGGAGATCCCACAGTGGCAACCCCGCACCCAAGACTCTGTGACCTTGGGCGGCCACCTCCCTGGTACCAGGACACCCAGTCCCACCCAGGTGTGATGGCATCTGACTGAGCCTTCCCTGCAGACACCAGACCCGGCCTCCCACCCAGCTGCCTTTGGTGCCCAGAATCCATGGTTTTCTTCTGGCACAGTCTGGTCCTCCCTCCTTCTAGGGCTGGGGGCTCAAATGGCTGAAGCACAGGGAAGCACACTAGAGGGGGCCCTCTGGGGTAGATGCTGTTTGGCTGCAAAGTGGCAAGAGCTGATCGCCACGCCCCGCCCACCCCACCCAATCGCGGCGGCTTGCCCCAGCGGTCCCACCTCCGCGCCAGCTCTCCCAAGCACCTGATTGTCATGTGGGGGGTGGGGGGTGCAGAGGGGGCAGGGGTCCGGCACACAGCCACACATGAGCTTAAGCTGGGCTCCAGACCTCCCCGGAGAAGCAAAAACAGGGCGCATGGGAGCTGGAGCCCAGACAGAGGAAGGGACTGGCCTAGGCCACACAGCACATCCCGGGTAGCCACATCTTTCCGAAGCATCACCAGACCCGCTTCCCCGTGCCCTGTGGAGAAGTGGGCTCTAGGGGCAATGTGTCTGCTAGGTGGCCCAGCCACCCCTCCCTCTGCACCCTCACGGCCCTCAGCTCCGCTGCCCCACTCTCAGTCAAGGCGCTGTCTTCTCCTTTGCCCAGCATGAGGGGCTCCAAGCTCAGGACCGGCCTCCACAGCATCTAGGACCCAGGATGAGCGCCTCAGCGTCACCACGGAGCCAGGGTTCCACTCCCAGCTCTGCCCTGCAGCTGTCCGGGAGGCAGGGGTGGTGGGGAGTGCCTAGGAATCCTTCATCCCCTGGCCCTGAAGTCTAGGAGGCGGAAGCATCCACACCTGGCCTACCCAGGCATGGGGGCGCCTCTCTCTTGTCGCCTCTAATACCAGCCTGTCGCATACCCAAGGGAGCCCAGACCTGGGTGAGGAGGGCACAGGCCCCAACATATGGGGGGGCTCGTGAGCGTGTCAGGGTGGGGGTAGAGTTCCAGGGCAAGGACACAGAGTCCCCATTAGAGCCAAGACCCCACTTGTAGACCCCACTTCCCACAAAGCTCAGACTCAGCTAGCACCTGTCCTTGGCCTCAGCAACAACGAATCTGTGTCCCCCACATTTCCAGCGCCTTCCTACACCCGGAGAGACGCTGACCCCTGTCGGGGATGGGATGGGTTGTGTATGGAGTGGAGCGGGTTGGCGGGTGGCGGGAGGCCTTCTCCCCAGGGAAAGAAGGTCAGGCCTGAGTCACAGCTTTGGGGGTGGGGTGGAAGGGAGGGGGGAGTGGGGAGAGAAGCAGGAGGGAAGAGACCCAAGAGGGCTACAGAAAATGCCCCTTCCCTTCCCTCCGATGGGGGACGGAGACGCCCAACGCTACATCAGCCTACGCTACCCCGCACTAGTGGGTCTCAGGCTCCAGGCCCGCTCTCTGGGGTGCGCGGTCGTGGTGCCCTCTGTCCAGGGCGACCAGCCCTCCCGCCCACTCCGGAGGAGGTGGGAGCCGCGGGGGAGAAGGGCTCAGCACCCAGCTCCCTCCGGAAGGTCAAGGGGAGACGGTATCAGCTGTCTCCCTCCACGAAGTGGGGATGGGGGGAGTAACAAGCCTGGAGACAGAAATAGGAAGGAAAACCCAGGAGGGAGCTGCCGAGAGGACGAGAGTTTCCAGCCGGGCGGGAAGGATGAGGGAGGGCGAGGGGGCGCCCACCGGTCGGGAAGGACCGTCCAGGCGCGGCGGACGGGGGACCCCGGGCCCGGGGCTGGCGCGCGCTCACCTGGTCACCGTGCGCCGCGCGCGCGGGCTGTGCGCCCTCTCCAGGCCCAGGCGCGCCCCGATGCCGGCCAGCACGAGCAGCGCAGCGACGCCGCACACCGCGTAGACGGCCGTGTGGCTGCGCTCGCGGCCCGGGTCCCGGGGCGCGGCGGCGTCGCGGGCACGCGCGGGTGGCCGGCCCGTCTGCACCCAGGCCGGCGTGTCGTAGTTGGAGCAGCGGCTCTGGTCGAGGCGCCGCGGCCCGTCGTGGCAGCAGAAGCGGTAGCCGCACGTGCCGCAGCAGAAGCTGTAGGCGCCGGAGCTGCAGTTGAAGGGCGGGTCCCACTGGCCCATCACGTCGTAGTAGCCGCGGCAGCGGTCGCCCCCGGCCGGGGCCGCCGTGCCGGGCTCCTCCGCGGGCTCCTGCGCCTCGGGGGCCCCCGCGCGGCCCGACGGCGGCCGCGCCCAGCAGCAGCGCCAGCCCGAGCGCGAGCCGGAGCCCCGGCGGGCCGCCGCCGCCGCCCCGCAGCCCCCGCGCCCCGGCCCGCTCCATCGGGCCCGCGCCTTCGGCTAGCGGCCCGCGCATGGTGGCGCGCCGCGGCTCCCTGCCGCCCGGCCTCCGGGCCGGCTCCTCGGCGCCCTCCGGGACCGCGCGGGCCCCGCCGCCCGGGCGCCGGCTGCGGCGGACGCCTCCTCGGCGGTCACCTTCCTCCTCGGACCCCGGAGCCGGGAGGCCACCGCCCGGAGCTCGCGGGGCCGCCCCTCCGGTGGGCGCGTCCCCCGCCGACTCACTTCGGAGCCGAGCCCGCGGTCCTCGCTCCGGGACGCCCCCCGGGGCCGGGCGGCCAGTCCTCGCCCGCGCGCGGTCCCCGGCCTCTCCCCGGCCTGGCGGGCGTGCGTGGCCCGGGCCTAGCGGGGGCGGCGGGCCGCCCGACTCCGCTGCCTTCCCGCCGGCCGCTCCGCGCTGCCCGCGCTCTGGCTGCGGCTCGGGCTCCGCGCGGGCTCGGGCGGGCGGGGGAGGGAGGGAGCGAGGGGAGGAGGGCGGGCGGGCGCGAGGCAGAGCCGGGGGAGGAGCGCGGCCGCCGCGAGGGGAGGGAGGGGGCGCGGCAGGGCCCGCACCGCTGGGGCGCCCCCGCGGGAACCCTCCCCGAGGGCCTCCCCGGAACATTCCTCGGAACCGGGGGCTCCAGGGCCTTCAGCTGATGCTCTCAGGGCTGTTACTTCGGACGCAGGCCCGCGGGAGTGCGCCTCGGTTGTACAGGTGCGGGGACTTAGGGGACAGAGAGTCCCGGGAGGGTCGTTGCCGCTCCCACCCCTTCCTCCTCCTTCCCATCCTCTCCGTCAGTTCTGGCCGGGACAGAGTGTGACAGGTGGCAGGCCCTTTCCCCACTCTGCGCCTCGATTTTCCCGCCTCTCGAATGGGAAGGAAACCCCGAGCAGAGCCGCGCCACAGAGCCAAGTATGGGTCGTCTCTGCGCCGCCTGGAGCGCAGCGTTACCCCTGGGCCGTGCGCCCTGGTCCCCAAATCTCTTGGACCCCGGATTGGGGCCCTGGGGTGTCGCCACTTCTACGGCGATGGGCATGGCCTGGTCCGCGTCCTCCCGGGATCTCTTCGCTATCCCAGGTGTGGAGGGGGGAGGAGATTAGGCTGGACCCTGACTCGGCTGCGGGGGGCGGGGCCGGGCCGGGGGGCGGGGCCAGAGGCGGACCCTCCGCTCGGCCCCACGAAGGACGCTCAGGTGCCCCCCGCCAGCCCCCGGAGAAAGGGGAGGAAGGCGGTTCGGAACTTGGGCTTAGCACAGAGCCGTTCCATGGTGTTTTCGAAGCTGAGTTTAACTGGAAAATGTGACCGATCCGGGGCGCCTTGCTTCTCTCTGCCTCAGTTTCTCATCTTAACAACAAAAACTCTTCGGGGAGGTGGGTGGTGGGCAGATTCATAATCCACCCCTTCCAGGAGGCAGGGGGCCAGTACGGTGCCTCCCACTGTCCAGAGGGGAGCACCAGGAGAATAAGGGCTGCGCCCCAGTGTTCCCACACCGCGTCGTATCTGCTGCATGAATGAATGAACGAATGATGTGACTTTAGCGTCTAGTTTTTGTAAGATTTGGGCTCCCAGGGTTCTCCCTGCTCCCCTTTGCATGGTGTCTTCACTCAACGACTGGGATCAGCTTATAAAAATGGAGGAAGTAGAGGGGGAAGGAGAAGGATTTGCATTTAAAGGAGGATCAAGTCCGCGTGTGGTGGAGATGAGGGGCTGACAGGCTAATTTCAGGTATTAATGCCTAGAGGCCCTCCCTCCTCAGGGTCATTCCTCCTGCCCTGTCCAGAGATAGCCGGCTCCCTCCTCCTCCCCATACAACACTCTTCTGATCCGTCTCAGAAGACCCTACCCTGTTAGAAGACTATCACAATTTTAGAGCCAAAGAAAATAGATGAGCAAAGCAATGAAGTGAAATTGCCTTAATCCCATCACCAGGGACAACTGAGGCTAAAATAAGCCCCACTTTACATACTGTTTTTTAGTGACTCGTTTTTTAGTTTACTTTGCGCTGTCAAACTTTCCATTTGTTATTCTGTTTAGAACTTAGTTGCTATATTCCTGGTGCAGCCGTTCTTGGTCCCCGGGGGCCCGGGTCGGGGGTGTTGTTCTAGAAAGGGACTCCATGGCACAAACTGTCCCGTTTGTATCAGTTTTCCCACCATGCCCTCCAGTTTACCAGGGCTCTCTGGGGGACTGCTTCTTCCCCTTTTCTCACCCTATGACTGGACACTAGGTTTAAGAGGTTTGTCTCTGTCCCCCTGGGACTGTGGCCTCATCCTAGGTAGGATGGCCTGACTGGTCCCAGAGCTTCCAGTGCTCCTCCCTGGGTTATGTCCCTTCCCCGGCCCCCTCTCTCTCTCTCTCTTTTTTTTTTAATATTTTATTTATTTATTTGATGGAGGGAGAAAGAGCACAAGTAGGCAGAGGAGCAGGCAGGGGGGGGGGCAGGCTCCCTGCTGTGCAGAGAGCCCCATGTGGGGCTCATCCCAGGACCCTGAGGTCATGACCTAGGCCGAAGGCAGAGGCTTAACCCACTAAGACACCCAGGCGCCCCCCCCCCTGGGCCCCTCTCTTATCCCACTGTCCCAGCACCACTGGGTGCCCCGCTGAGATTCCAGCCCCTGTTGCTGCCATCAGGTCCACTTATATATATACGTGTATATAATATATGGTTATAGATCATATATATCATACATAGGTCATATATATCATATACACATGATATATATGATGGTTTGTCCGTGAAGGAGCTGGATCCGGAATTACAGCCCCTCGCCCCCCCAGCAGAGGTCCAGCCTCTAACTCCTCCCCACATCCAAGGCTTCCTCCTGGTCTCCGTCTGGCTCAGTGGTCAGCCAGTAACCATAGATGCCCACATCTACCAGGCCAATGCCAGACACTGATGCTCTCTCAATATTAACACGGAGCCTGGGGGCAGGCGGGGGGGTGAGGACAAACGCAGAGACAGATTAGGGCTGACTGACTGAACCCGGGATCTGGCCATTCATTCGGCTGGCGCTGCCCCTCGGGTGCCTGACCACTTGCTGACCATCTGGAAATGGAGCAGCCCAGCTAAGGAGTGACCCCTTGGCCCAGGTTACCCTCCCTGGACCCTGGGGTCTTTCTCCTCAGTAAGGTACCAGAGCACCTGTCTCTCGGCTCCTCTGCCTGCCCCCCCAAGCCTGTGTCACCAAAAATCGCCCATTGATCCAGGCTTAAAATAACCCCTGGCATCTGCAGCAGGCCCCACGGGGCGGGCAGAGGAGCCGTGTCTCTGTGCCTGAAGGGCACCCGCCCCGCCCCCAGCTCTGAGCGCCAGCAGCTTGAGTGTGAGGGTGTCTGCGTGTGCTTCCGAATGAGAGTGAGAGTGCGTGTCTGGGGGCAGCCTGGTTATGAGCCCTTCCTTCCCCCATGGACATGTGCGTGCACGTGTGTGTGTGTGTGTGTGTGTGTGTGTGTGTGTGTTGGTGTGCATACCCCTGGGCACACGTGTTCTTCCTTCACGGTTGAGTCCTTGCCTGGTGCCCAGCTCTGGCTGTGCGAGGCTCAGGGTCCTGAGAGGTCATGGACATTAGGGAAAGCCCGGGAGGGACCTCAGTGTCCCCATTTTAGACTGAAGGTCAGTGACCAGTCTGCCCAGCCCTGGGCCAGGGAATTTGGGATTTCCTAGAGACAAACCCAAGACCCAGAGAGCGGAAATGGCTTGCTGTAACTGGCACACAGCCAGGAAGGACCAGGGTCTGACTTGGAACCTGAACTCTGAGTCTCAAGCCTATTTCTGATCAGTTTAATACAAAAAAGAGAGCAGTGGGAAGTTCTGGCCCAGAGGCCAGGCAAGTGTTCCTACAGCCCGATAACATACTCCATGCCTGACGATGCCTGATGTGCCCCGACTCCTACAGGAGCCCCTGGTCTTCCCTGCGCCCCGACTCCTACAGGAGCCTCCTGTTCCCAGCCCCAGGCTGTTCCCTGTCCCCAGAATGCCTTTCCAGCCCCTCACAAGGACGGCTCCTACTTATCCTTCATTTTGGAGACAGACTAAGGCGGTTTGGGATTCCCACTCTAATAGGACCAGCCAATCTTTCTAGGCCTGTTTTCTTTCAGCTAGCACCTCTCTGGCCGGGCTGCAGGGAGAAGCCAGTCCCCCCCAAACCCCATGGAGAAACATGCAGGTACATGCTGTCCAGTGTCCCACCTCCACGGCGCTGAGACAGTGATTGCCACGGTGGGTGCCATCCGTAAGCCTCCACGGTCCCATTCCCAAGCCCACTTTGCTTCCATTTCTTCCGTGATAGAGGGCTGCCCCAAAGCAGAGATTCTAGAGAAAGATGGACTCCCTGCTGGCACCGATGCCTATGCCAGTGCGGGAGCAGGTCGGGAGGGGGAGGACCCGTGGCTCCTTTGTCTCCCTGAGAGGCAGCTTGTGACTCAGGCTCCAGCTGCCTGTGGGAGGGAGGGGGCGCCCAGGCTGAGGTCCTGAGGGAGCAACATGGGGGGGGTGCTGGGAGTGGGGGCTTAGCCTCGAGTCCCAAATCCTGGAGCACCCTCTCCCTGGAGCTCCCCTCCCCTGCCTCAGGGCGTCGCGCTGCAGACATCACAGCTGGAATTCCCTGATTAACACCCCCAGCCTCAACCTTCCAAAGGCCCCAGTGAATATGCAGATCTGGACTGGCCACTAAGTCCACACGACGGGAATAGATTCAGAGAGGACAGAGCTCAGCGGAGGCCACACAGCGCGTCCCCCAACCCGGCATAGCCCCCCCCCCCCCCCCCCGCCCCCGTCCCGCCGGTTCCTGGACACAATTCTGAGGTCAGCTCCCAGCCCACAGCGGTTTTTGCGCCCCTCGACATAGACGCCTCGCTCCAAAGCCGGGGCCATGCCCTGCATCTGGCCCGGGATGCTCGTGAGGACCGGAACCCCGCGTGAGGGTTTGGAGAAGGTTCTGGTGGTCTTGGTCCCGCCGCTCGTCGGGGGCCGCCCTTTCTCCTCGCCCCTTGGCCTTCAACTTGCTCCTTCTACTCGCCCCGGCCCCGCCCCTTTCCGACTCCCCGGGGGCTCGGTGTCCCTCAGCCCCGCCTCCCTACCGACCCCGCCCGCAGCCGCGCCTCCAGCCCGGTCCCCGCCCGCTCCGTCCGCGGCTTCAGGTCTAGGTGCCTCCTGCTGGGCTGACCGCGGAAGGTGCGGAGCTAGACTTTCGCCTGCCCCGGAGTCATCTCCTGGATCACAGATTCTCTGCAGCTCAGGGAAGGTGGAGGAGATGATCAGAGGCCCTCTGGGCCCCGGGACCCCTGTAGCGTAGCCTGGGCAGCTTCCCCGCCCTACAGAGTCCCGGGAAAGAGGGTGGGCCTGGAACAGGGACATCCGTGCCCTCCCCGCTCCTCCCCCACCCTCCTTCCGCGGGACCCCGGGCCGTCGTTCCTACCCCACCGCCACCCCCGGGTCGGGACCTGGCCGCTGGGGAGCAGGTAGAGACTGGAGGGAGGGCAGATTCCTGCTCTGGGTGGGGAAGAATGGGACCTCAGCCGCCCAAAAAAGAGCAAATCGGAGTGAGTTCCCACCCTGTGCCCAGAGGAGTGCCAGAGGGGTCTGGTGAGACCCTAAACGGTGGGGTTGGAGAAGCACCCGGGGTTCCCTGAGGGGGGATGGATGCCTCCCATGAGCCGAGGGGCAGGCAGGAGCGCAGGAGAGGTTGGACTCAGCCCCACCGGGCACTCTGAGGTCAGGGTACCCACCTCTCCAGCTCCCCGCCCCTGCGCCCTGCTTCTTGACCCTTTTGCGCCCGCCCTCTCCTCTGCACTTTTGCACACAGTCCCCTGGGCCAGGAATGCCTATTCTCCGCTCCATTCCAGCAGGAAAAGTGGGCAAGGCTCAGGGCGTACTTCCTACGGTCCAAAGCACTTCCTAGATGCTGGTCGGTCAATCCCCCTGCCTGGGCTAGGGATCGCCCTGTCCTGTCGTTAGGTCCCACTCCTTCTCTCCCATTGAACCAGGACCTAATGGCAGGGCCCGAGGCTGACCTCCAAGCATTGCCCAGAATGGCGCTGGCCCAGAGCAGGTGTGTTTGGATCTGGTGTGACCAGTGGAGCAGTAAACAAATGGGCGAGTGGCAGGAGCCGAGACCAGAGCCTCAGACCAGCTCTGGGAAACTCACTTTCCAGAGGAATTTCCGAGGGCTGGTGACTCCATCCCAGGGAAAGGAGGAGGAGGCACTCTAGGGTGAAGACCCTTCTACTTGCCACATGACCTCTTTCATCTCCGAAGGCGGCTTGGCCCTGGGGCTCCATTTCGGAGATGAGGAGGCAGGCTCGGAGGGAAGGGCTGTGTGGGGCTGTCCTGGCTAAGACCGCGGGAGGCAAGGGGTCAGGTCTCTCCTCTGGGGCCTCCCCAGCTGGGCCGCCCCACCCCCACCCTGACCCCAGAGCCCAGGGCTGCTGGGCAGGAAGTGAAAGGTGCCTGCAGGAAGCCCCAGGAGGAACTGAGACCTGAGCCAGCCCTGCCTCCACCTGCCCGGGCCCTGGGGACCTCAGGGAAACCAGAGCCTCCTTCAGGAAAAACTGGCCAGAAACCCAGGCTGGGGGGAGGGGAAGCTGCTTCCCTAGGTCCCTACCCCAACGAGCAGTTCTTCCAGAGACTATCTTGGGTCCCTTTTAAAGCAAAAAGAGACCAGTTGGGGAGAAACATCTTTGAGAGTGACGAAAGTGAGTAGTCAAGCCCGGAATGGATTCCTGGAGTCCGTCATCCCCAAGGAGGGCACCTGGGCCAGTGACCTTCTGGACAGGGGCGCCGGGCAGGGGCTCGAGCCTCTCTAGCCCAGCTCCACCACGGTGGGCAGACTGTAGCTTGGGCCAGATCCTCTCACCTCCAGGGCCTCTTTTTTCCTATCTGCAAAATGGGACATCTAATCCCTGTTCGCGGACATGAACTGGTCCAGATTTTTAGGAAATCAATTCAACCCTCAGGACCCATAAAAAAACTCAGGCAAAGGTTTAGGTCAAGGAGGCAGCGCTACCTCAGCTACAGTAGTAAAAGCTCAAAACAACCAAGTACTCAAGTGGAAGCCTTTACAAATGTTGAAAATCTTGTTGGTGAAGTGTTGAAAGACCAGACAAAACTCACCAAATATGACAGCCAAGGTACAAATTTATGCGTGTAAAATGATTACAGTCACTCAGGCTTATGGGTCATTTCTCCATGGCCTCCACCCTGGGTCACTGCCCTGAATTTTCCAAAGCGTTTACAAAGTATTTGTCTTGATTTTTTTCTAATAAAAAAAAAAAAAACTTTTTAAAAAGCGAACAAGGGATGCCTGGGGGGCTCAGTCGGTTAGGTGTCTGACTTGGGCTCAGGTCATGATCTCAGGGTCCTGGGTTGGTGTCCAAGCTCCATGGGGGGCTCCCTGCTCAGTGGGGAGTCCGCTTCTCCCTCTCCCTCGCCCTTGCCCCACACTCATCCTCTTTGTCTCTCTCCAATGAATAAATAAAACCTTAAAAAAAAAAAAAGAAAAAAGCGAACAAATACCCACGCACCTCCTCCGGGTGCTGTCCTTAAGATCAAAAGCTGTGACTTCATTGAAGCCTTCTTAGAAAACACTTCCTGGGACACAGAGCCAGAGACTGGAACCCCCTGAGTGGTGGGGTCCTTTCCTGGGGTCTGGGGGACACTGACCCCCTCGTTGCCCACGCCTCCCCCCGCCTCTGCTCCTGGTTCTTCTCCAAGGAACCTCCCTTCTGTTATTTGCCAAGTCTTGTCCCTCTCTGGGTCTCAGTTTCCTTATCTGTAAAATGGTGGGGTGTGGACAAGGATCTTTTCAGGTTCTTTCAAGTCCTTCTCCTCAGACAGCGGACAGCAACAGGCCTGGAGAAACACTTTGCATCCAACACCTCCCCACCCCCCGGCCCCAATTTTTCAGAAATGGAAACCGAGACCAGAGGGGAAGCTGGGGTTTGGTTAGGACACAGTGGTGCCAGAGGTTTGCATGTCTGGACCCCAGAGGGGTTTTACCTCCAGGGCCCAGCCCCCTGCTCTGGTACAAAAGGTGAGTGGGAGGCAGAGGGGGCCGGAACAGCATAGACTCTCCAGTACCCAGATGAAGTAGAGTGGAGGTCTGGGCCCATGCTGGGCCAGCTTCCCACCCTCCTGCAGACTGCCAGCCCTCTGACCTTGCCCCAGCCACCTGGTAGCTTGCAGAGAGGGGCACCTGGGATGAATTCAGGGAGGGAGTGGCTTAGGAAGAGTTAAATTGGGTGTCAGGGTGCTGGGGGCTCCAGCCGTCTTCTGGGCTGAGAAGCCGGTGGCCAGGAAGGGTGGGTATCTGCCAGGCAGCTCTGCTGGGCAGCTCAGGGAGAAGTGGGCAGAAAGGCATCAGATGCACGGAACAGAACATGGCCAAGGCCCTATAGTGGGACAAATGGGACCCAAAACTCCATCTTCTAATTCCTAGTCCATGTTCCTTCGGAGGGTGCTAACCTGTGACAAGTTCCAAGGACTGTCCAGGACAGAGTCCGGGTCAGGAGGTTCTAACTCTGTAGGAGAGCCGGCAGGAGACGCAGTGCCTGGCCAAGTACGGCCTGGTCTACAACTCAGTGAGAGGGTCTCAGTCCCAGGTCCCAGAGCAAGGGGCACTGCTGTCAGAGGAGCAATTCCCCTGGGAGATTGGGTGACCCCGGGGGCTGGCACAGAATGGCCGAGTGACCATAGCACTTAGGGCCTAGTGCTTCAGGGGGCAGGCCATGGAGAGAGGGAGCTCAAAGGACATCAGGTCCAGCTGGTTCAAGGCCACAGGTCTGCTCTGGCTTCTGAACAAAGGAGCCCCTTGGTGGTCCTGGGCCTTTCCCTGTGTACAGCTGAGAGCGCCTCGGAGACAGCTGGGACTCCAGGTGGCCTCTGAGAGAGAAGTTCGGCCGTGTGCCTTCAGCGTGAGCCTGCAGTCCAGCCCCAGGGGGGCTGGAGACTTCCTCCCAAGGGCAAGCCTGGGGCTCTGGAAGCTGCTACTGGGGTGAAAAATGGCATCACAGGTCCTAGAAGGTTGGGCCAAGCTCAGGGTTGGCCCTCGGGTACAGATACCTGAGAATTAGCACAATTCAGGCTCTTTGTTACAATCAGAATCATTCTGTATTAAATCCTGAAGCAAACCTGTCGGCTGGTTACTCCTTGCTGCTATTTGCATCGGTTAGAAGCAGGACAGCTGGGAGAGCACGTATTAAAGAGATACATCACCCAGCTATAAATTAAGCGTCCTCCCACCTGATCCTTCTCCTAGATTCATTCTGGTGGATGGTGGCTTCCCTGCGCTTAGAGAAAAACCTCCTACGCCATGTGCCCCAGGCACTCAAAAGCTCGGGAGCTCAGCCACAACCTTCGAGGGCCGCCAAAGATGGTCTGGTTTTAAGCCAAATGCTACGGTGCGGTTGGGCCGCCACGCCTGCCGTCTGAGGTCTCTAGTCTGTGGCTCTGCGGGGTTAGCAGGGGAGCAGCGTGGTTCCCAGAAAAGGGGCAGGTGGGCACGGGGGGGTGAAGAGCCGAATCCAACCTCCAAGCCCCTGGCTGACGGCCCACTGGGAGGACAGGGGCCACCTCCTGCCCCCTCCGTCGCTACTGCTGCTCAGGGCCGGCTGTCTTGGTGGTCACCAGCTCAGTGGAGCCCAGCTCTGTGGCTGGCACGGGGACGCTGTGGGCAGGTGGGGTGTTGGCTGCGTCTTCTCTGGTTGGAGGCCAGACGGGAGCGGTGGCATCAAGGAGTCCCGGGGGGAGGATGGTGACATGGTCCAGGGTCTCTGGTGGGGGGAGGTGGGGAATGCAAGGTCAGGATTGCATCACAGCCCTTCCCCACCCCTGTGCAGGAAGCCTCACTGGAGGGACAGCCCTGGACGGAGCCATTAGTCCCGAAGCTCCTCTGCAGGGGTGCGGAGGGGTGGCAGGGCATGGGGCCTCGGGACAGGAAGTGCAGAGCGGGCTGGCAAAATGGGAGGTGCGGGGGAAGGGAGAAGCGGGGGAGCCTTGGCTCTCGGGCTCCGAGGGCTCTGGGAGGCTAGAGTCGTGTCCCTCCCGGGGGAATCGACCCGAGGTCTTCAGCGCCCGCCCCAGAGCCCGGCCCCCGCTGCAGGCTCCCTCCCAGCTCCCAGGCCCCGCGTTACTTACCGCCGGGGTGCGGCTCCGGGGTCCCTCGGGGAGCCGCCGCGCGCAGCCGCCGCCGCCACCGGCAGCCCAGCAGGCCCACCAGGACCAGGGCCAGCGCCAGGCCCAGCAGCGCGGGGGCGCCGAAGAGCAGCGCGGGCAGCGGCAGCGCCGCCGCAGCCTCCGCCGCGCCCCCCGGGCCCACCGACTCCTGCGGCTGCAGCGCCGTCCCGGGCGCCAGGCTGCTGCTGGCCCCCGCTGCTGGGGGAAGGGACGGAGAGGGAGGGCAGGGGGCGGAGGGAAGAGACGGCGGGGGAGGGGAAGGGTCGGAGGGAGGCGAGGCTGGGCCGGGGAGGCGAGAGAGGGCCGGGCGGGTGGACAGGAGGAGGGGAAGACAGGGAGCGGTGAGGGCCACGTGGGGACCACAGGTCCCCAAGCAGGCCCCCTGCTTACAGCCCCCCATCAAACTGGTCACCGCGCCCCTTCCCCATCGTGGGGCTGGGGGAAGGGGGTAGAGACCATGCTTGCGGCTCCTGCGGGGCTGGTAGGGGGCCCCTCTCTGCCCTGCTGCCCAGCTGGCCGACTGGGCAGGCTCTTACCCGGTCTCGGTTCTGGCGTCCGGAAGAGATTGCAGGCCACGCAGTTTCGGACCAGAGGGTCAAAGCACTGGGCCTGGACACACTGTGTGGGGGCCGGGCCGTCCCTGCCCCTCCTGTTCCTGGCCCCTCTCCTCTTGCTGCCCATGTTGCCTCACACCCAGTGCACTGAGTCTGGCTTCTGCTGTCGGGAGGAGGAAACCGGGAGGGGCCACCACCCACTGTGCCCCGCCCCACCCTCCTGCCTGCTGGGGTGGGACCACTGTCACCCAGGGCCCCAAGGCCCTGCACCCCACACCTTCTCTTTCTACCTGCGGTTCCTCCATTCAACCGCTCAACCATCACCCCCAGTCGCTGGCTGGGTGGGCCCTGTGCTGGGCTCTGGGACAGTGCTGGGGTGCAGACCTGGGCCTGCTCTTGGCCGATAGAGGTTGGGCCCCCATAGTCAGGACAAAGACCTCGGGGTGGCCTCCTCGGTCCTGCTCCCCAAGGGCCAGCCCCAGCCCCAGACAGCCCCCACCAGCTACACCCTCCCCTGGGGCTCCTTCCTGCCCTTCCCAGGCAGAGCTGGGTCCTTTTATCGGATGCTTCCTGAGCGCCCCATCTCCCAGGGAAAGACAGTGTCTCCCAGCAGCAGCCACGGAGGGGGACAGGAAGGCTTTGTCAAGGAGGCAATACTGAGAAGGTGTTTGCCAGAGGGAGCGAGGTCTAGGGGAGCGTGACAGAGGAGGACAGAGCAGGAGCCCAGAGAGTGCTGGGTCGGAGGGCTGGGCTGGGACCTCAGTGGAGGGTTATGGAGTTTGACCCTGGCTGAGGGCACCAGGGGACTCTGCGGGGCTCTGAGCAGACAGTGCCTAGTCCAAGCTGCGTGAGAGTAAGCAGTCTCTGGCCGGAGCAGAGGGCACCGCCAGGGGAGGGGGAGGGTAGCCGAGGGTCCAAGGGCTCACAGCTGTCTCCAGGTCCTGGAAAGGAGGGAGACTTAGATCAACAGATGAACAGACAGACAGAGCAAGGCCCAGTGGGCGGCCGGCCCACCCCAACTCCTTCTCCCCAGGATATGTGTGTCCCCGGCTGCTTGCCTCTGCGTCTCAGAAGTCCCCTCTGTCTGTCCTTCCTTTCCAGTGTTTGGGTTTCCCCACTTGTCTGTCCTCCTCGGTCTCTCAGATTGAGTCTCAGACACACACACAAGCCTTCCTGACGTCTGCTGCCCCGGCCCTGGGGGCAGGGGTTGGCAGCGAGCCCCAGCACGGCGGACACGGTGGGCCACACCAGACCCCTATGCGGTCAGGGCTGGGGATCCAGGGGACAGCAGGGGCTTGGGCACAGGAGTAGATCTTCAGCAGCTGCAAGGGGGAGAGAAGCTTCCAGGCAGAGAGACTGGCAAGGGCAAAGGCAAAGAGAGGTAAGAGGGGACGCTTACGGGACGCTTACTCTGGGGACAGGCATGGCTACCACCTGGGGGGTGCTGGGGAGGCAGGGAGCCGGAGGCTGCAGAGGCGCTGGGCCCCGGGGAGCCCCAGGAGGTACGTGAGTGCAGGGAGCTGTGCTTCCTAAGGACCCTCTCTCTCTGGCTACTGTGGGGTTGGAGATAGGACACAGGGGTCCGGGGCAGGGGAACCATCTTGAAGTTGTTTAGGAGGAAAGAGTGATGCTGTGGAGTGAGGGAAGCGAGGCTGGGCCCCAGGTTTCTGGCCTCGAGGAGCCCTGGCCCACTGCCTCTCCGGCCCCTGCCCACGGGCCAACAACTCTCTGGCAGGAAGGTGTAGGCGTCAGGCAGCTGCAAAGGAGAAGTGGGTCTGGGGCGGTGGGTGTGGGTGTGAGTGTGGGTGTGTGGTGAGGGCGTGGGGGGGCCTGGAGCCCGGAGGGGAGCGGCGGCAGAACCCCCACCCCCATCCCTGGCGGAGCTGTTACGACCTGTCACCCTGAGGACCGCAGAGCCCTTACACGGGACCGGGCGCCTCACTGAACCCTCATTCCATCGGGCAGAGCAGACTGAGTCTTGCGGGAGCTGGGAGGGAGGAACCTGTCCCTGGGAGAAGGTGGGCCCTGGGGCCAGTCTGGGGTCACTTGCAGGAGCCACTTCTGCGCAGGCTGGGCGGGCCCGTCTCACTGGGGCCCGCACGGGCTCCCGTAGAAAGCAGGGGACGTGGCCTTCAGGGGCGCCAGTCAGAGTGGGGAGCGGGACTGTTTCCCCGGGGCCGCCGGGGTGCCGAACGGGCCACGTGCCCAGGACAAAGCAGGCAACGGCGAAAGGCGTGTGTGATTCGTGTCAGCGGCGTGGGCAGGTGCCCGACCCCGCACGCACCTTCTCACTCGCCGCTTCTGAACGGGAGGCGGAGGGAGGCCTCGAATCTCGACCTCACAGTTAAGAGAAATTTCCGCGACAGACCAGCATGATAAATGCTAGGTTAAATTCTCAGTGTATTCCTTATTTTGGTTCACATCTCTGAAGTGACGATTAATTTCTTTATTCATGTTCTCTCCATCACTTTTTTTTTGAAGATTTTATTTGACAGAGGGAACAGGAGCTGGGGGAGTGGGAGAGGGGAAAGGCAGGCTCCCCGCTGAGCAAGGAGCCCCATGCGGGCTCGATCCCAGGACCCCAGCATCATGACCTGAGCTGAAGGCAAACGCTTAACCGGCTGAGCCACCCAGGCGCCCCATTATTATTTTTTTTAAGTAATTGCTACAGCCAGCGTGGGGCTCGAACTCAGGACCCGAGATCGAGTCTCACACTCTACTGACTGAGCCAGCTGGGCGCTTGATAGTTTTTATTTTTATTTTATTTTATTTTATTTTTATTTATTACTCTGGTATCATGGCCTCAAAGGTACTAGGTAGAAAAGAAGGGAATTTAAAAAAAAAAAAAGATTTTATTTATTTGACACAGAGAGAGAGATCACAAGTAGGCAGAGAGGCAGGCAGAGAGAGAGGGGGAAGCAGGCTCCCCGCTGAGCAGAGAGCCCGATGCAGGGCTGGATCCCAGGACCCTGAGATCGTGACCTGAGCTGAAGGCAGAGGCTTAACTCACTGAGCCACCCAGGCGCCCCAAGAAGGGACTTTGTTGCTGAAAAACCCACCTAACGAACATCTCAGTGTTCTCACGTTTTCGCTTCCTGGTGAATTGTTTTACAAAGATAATTAATCTGGGGTCTGTCAGGGAAAAGGGAGTCTCCCATGATCTTTGTCCCTTGAATTCCCCTCAAGACACTACCCTAATAGGTCTGACACAGGCGGTATCTTGACAACTGGTTTCTAGGTGGCGAAGCAGGGGCTCTGCGGGGCAGAGGAATGACCCAGCGCGTCCCGGGAGCCCGGACAGGGCCTGTGCCCGGCGGGCTGTGAAGCGTGGCCTGCGCCCTTCATGCCTCGGGGACAGGGTGGGGAAAGGAGGAAACTCTGCCACTTGGACAAGCTCGGTGATAAGCGGGGGCAGTCCCGGGGGACAGAGGGGCCCGGCCCCCCCAGATCTAGATGTGAAAGTGCTCGGAGACCCAGGGCGCACTCCTTACGTAAAAATTATTTTTATTTGCAATTCTGTGAGTAATACCTGAACACATTCTCACGAAAAAACCCTCAAACAACACAGGAGTCTGTGAGTAAGATGGGGCATTTCCCTGCTGTCCCCAGAGGGAGGCTGTTCTTCCTTTGGACTTTTTCCTCCCATCCTATTTTGTGCCTTTCCATTCTCACATAAGCGTCTGCAGAAAAGCAGGGTTTGTGATTCATGAAAAGGGGCCACACAGTGTGCGCTGTTCTGTGGGCTTCCCTGCCCGCCTCAGCCCTCAGCCGCGTGGGCCCTCCTTCGTCTTTTGTCATATTTTGTCCTGGGAGTGGTCAGGGGCCCCAGAACGGGGACTCCCTTTGTCTTTCTCCTGTACCTAGCACTGACACACAGGACACTGCTAGAAAGTCCCCCTCCCTGGAGGAATGTGGGGACCCTGGGACGAGGGGCAGGAGAGACAGAGGCTCCGTACAAAGCCGTCGCGAGGTGGAGAGCCCCCAGCCCTCTGCCCTCCACTCCAGACTCTCCAAGGGCAGGTGAGGCCTTTCCATGATGTGGTTCTGGAAACCCTGTCCAGGTTTTCACAGGCCCAGGCTGCCTAGACTCAGGCCCTCATCTCCCTGCCCCCCACCATGCACACATACACACACACGTACACTTACACGCACATGTGCACGCATACACGTAAACGTGCACACATACCCACACACAGTCCGGCATCCCTGGGGGTTGCGGCCCAGGGCAGCCCAGCCGTTCTCAGCCCGGCCTTGGGATGGGGGACACAGTCACCGCCACCTGGGGGCTAGTAGCACCTGCGGGTGGCAGGTGGGAGAGCAGGGAGCCTCCCCCGGCGTTGCAGGGACAAGGGCCGGGGGCTCTAACTGGCGCACAGGCCGACTGTGAGCAGACGCCACCATTGGTTCAGCAAATACTTTCGGAGACTCACTCTGCACCAGGCACTGTTCTAGGTGCTGGAGAGAGGGCAGGGAGCCCCAGAGACAAAATCCAAACGGGGAAACCGTGTAGTAGGTGAGGGGCTGAGCAGTGCTGGGGAGACAAATTCAGGAGGGAAGGGTGTCAGGGAGGGCCCGGAGTCAGGCCGGGCCTGGTGAGATTTCCGAACAGAGGGAGGCGGGTGAGAGTGACCCCCGCACCCAGGATGTCCGGGGAGGAGCAGACGAGGCCCAGGGAATGGCACAGTGACCAGGAAAATGGCAGGGCCCAGTACTGCCTGAGCACCTGCCGGCCCGTGCCCTGCGGGAGCCCACACCCCTTGCCGCAGCCCTGTGGGGGAAACGGCAGCGGGGTTCCCACTTTACAAAGAGGGAAGCAGGCTCAGGAGGATGGGGACGAGCCAGACAGCCCCACAGTCCCTGAGATCCGCCCCCCCACGGCTCCCAGGACACACACATCGGTGGAGTCCCCTCCCGGTCAGCAGGTGGAGGGAAGGTCAGTGGCCTTCAGTGGAAGGTCAGTGGAAGATCAGCCTGTGGACAAACACGGCTGAGGACGGCCAGGTGCGGGGAGCCCTCAGGCCTCGCAGGGCCACTACGTAGCAAGACCAGGCACTCCCCCCAGTGTGAACTCCCAGGGGCCCCCAGATGCCTTTGGCATTCCTCCGGATGTAAGAGGGTGGCCCCTAGAAGGAAGGCTGCTTCCTGGCCTCCTGTCCGGGTCAGGGCCACTGGGACTCCCTACTCTCCCTCCCTCCCAGAGTTGGTCCTCAGCAGCCTGCAGTCCACAGGGTCACACTCAGGTGGGACGCAGAGGTGGGCAGGTCCTGACAATCCACCACATTGTCCTCACTCCTCACCCCCCACCCCTCAAGTCTCCAGGTGTCTACAAGCAGCCTTCCCACACCGAGTCTCTGCTGCGCGCTTACGGCCCCAGGGGAGACAGAAGGAAGGAGGGCAAGCCAGCAGGTGTGCCCTGTGGAGAGGGTCCCTTTCTGCTGGAGCCCTTCGGGGAGGCCTGGCCCCGCAGTAGGTGAGGGAGGGGAGGGGCCGGCTGTGGCAGGCCGTTACCTCCAGAACTCCCCGGCACTCCACCATGCCTGCCACGCCGCAGGGCACGGGCAGCCAGCCCTGTCTGTGCAGGGCATACACGGGGCACGCACAGGGTCGGGCTCTTTGGTTTCTCTGAGACCCATGAGAACCTCAAGAGGCTGTGGGGACAGGAAGACAGGAAGTGAGCTCCCCCAGGTCCCACACAGGTTGGCCACAGACCCCAAGTCAGTGAGACTCAAGGGCTGGGCCCTTTCCCACTGCACCACTTCCCCTCTGTGACCAGGTCGCCCTGGCAGAGCCCCAGCCCGAGGCTGCCCCTGCCTCCGCTTGCCGAGAGCTGAAGGAGACACCGGTGCCCTGCTGCTGAGCCCCCTCCTCCCTGGGGAGGCTCGGCCTCCTTGGCCAGGGTGGGAAATAGCATTAGACTGGGGCCAGGACACAGGCCCAGGCCTTCTCCTGCGAACGAACGGGAGCCCCCTGGGGTGTGCCCAAGGAACAAAAGAACCTGTGGGCTGACCAAGCCTTGCCCCGTACAGTGGGGCCCAAACCTCCTCTTTCCTCCGTGCACTCAGACAGCATGGAGCCAGCAGCTCACGGGTCCAGCAGAAAGGCATCTCCTACAGGGGCCTCAGCCCGTCCCCCGTAACCGCCTCCGCTGTGACTGTCTTGTGACCAAGGCCAACCTGAGAGTTCTGACACTGGTTCGAAGTTTTGTGTTTAAGATAATGGCTTCTTGGAGCGCCTGGGTGGCTCAGTTGGTTAAGCGTCTGCCTTGGACTCAGGTCATGATCCCAGGGTCCTAGGATCGAGTCCCGCATCAGGCTCCCTGCTCAGCGGGGAGCCTGCTTCTCCCTCTCCCTGCCACTCCCCCTGCTCTGTCAAATAAATAAAATCTTTAAAAAACAAATAAATAAAATAAAATAATGGCTTCTCCTTCTCAGTCCTGAGGCCCCCCAGGGAGAAAGGCATTCATTAGCCTGATCACATTCTACAGACAAGGAAACTGAGGCTCGTGGAAGATAAAGGGACCTGCCTCAGGTCACAAGATCCCTAAGAAGCCTGGCACAGCCTCTCCTAGCTCCCCCCACGCCACCGCAGCATCAGGCAGCCATTCCAGGCACCCCTGGGGCGGAAAGACTGGCCTTCCATTCCTTCCCTTGCTTGAACTGCCTCCCAGCGTCCCTGGCCTCCGGACAGTACAGAGCAGCCACACTCCCCAGCCGGGGGGAACAGGCCTGGGAGGGCTGCTGACTGCCCTTCAGGGGCTGCTCAGCTCTGCAGTGAGGCAGAGGCAGGCTCCCAGGTCCTGGGCCCCTGCCAAGCTCGCTGGAGCTGGGAGCAGTGACAGCCTTGAGTTCCCCCGGCGCTTGGAAGGCTCTCAGATCCTTGGCTGGAGTGTGATGCCACTTCTCTTGTTAAATGGCACCAGGTGGCAAAGAAAACATGGCACAGGGACCAGAGAGTTGGGGGAGGGGAGAGAAGTGTGCCCCATGCCGCCCAGGGGTAGGTGAAGGGGGAAGGGGAGGGGCACCCCTCATCTCCAACAAAGGGACGGGGCCCGGCAAAGGCAGGGAGGCCGTGTCCACGCTGCCTTCCTCTTCTGCCTGGACACCTGCTCCATCGGCTCCCAGAGACCCCCCCTACTTTCACCCCCTCTCCGCACTGCCCTACAAAGCCCCAACTTTCCGGCCCAGGCTGCCGAGGAGCTGAAGACAAGGCTGGTTCCTAGGAGGCACCGGGCCTCTGCGGATCCTGCCCATCCCCTCAGAGACTAGCGTGCACTTTCACCTCACCTCGGCCTCTTCCTTCAACCCTGGACGCAGCAACCTCACCCCGGAAGCTGGCTTCCCTTCCCCAGTGCTGAGGAGCCCCACATTTGCAGTCGTCCTCTTTCTGGTTCGGGCAGTGCTCCTACCCTGCTCCTCGCCCTCTCCTCCCCCAGGCCTGCCCCTGTCCTGAGGTGCGGACCCCAGCACGCGGGAGCAGCTCCTTGAGACTACCCTTCCTGACCGCTGCTTTCTCAGGCACAAGGCCTGCGTGTCCACCACTTCTGTGTGGACAGCCAGGGCCTGCCCAGCAGAAATGCCTGAACCTTTGTTCAACCATTAGGCACCTAAGAAAACAACTGGAGGGAAGAGCAGGGGAGGGTCTGGAGGTCAGCCGCCTGATTAGCTGTGTGATGTGGACACACCTCTGGCCCGGCATCTTGGCACGAGCGGAAGTAGGGAAATAGTACCGACCTCGCAGGTCTGCCAGGGGACACAGGAGCGGCCGTGTGAGGAGAATGAAGTGTGCGGCGCCCCGCTGTGTCACGGACACTAGGGGCCTCAGACAGAATCATCGCAGCTGAGGTTCTCAGAGGGTCCCCCGGGTTGGCCTCTAATCAGCCAGCCGTCTGGCTGCTGGACCTACTGAGCACCAGGGGTGCGGCGCTGGGCCAGGCCTGAGCAGGAGCCTATGGCGGGGAGAAAGGCAGGCATCCCCTCACGATTTTCAAGCTGGCCCCACTTCATGGAGAGCAGGGGCTCCAGCTGTGACGGCAAAGTCGAAGCAGAGGCCTGAATTTGGAGGCAGGTCCCTGCATGAGCCAAATGGGGGCGAGGAGGGGGCACCGTCATGGTCTAAGGGAGCCCAGACCCGGCTCTCCTCCTGCGGTCTCCTCTACCAGCGTGTGCCCAGCTGGCCACCCGGCAGCGGCAGGAGCCCTGGCGGCTGACCGGATTTCTGGATTCCAACCCTGGCACTTCTGCAAATTCTTATTAGACCCAGAGGAGATGGGGAGCCACTGTCACGGCACAACCTCTGGCCGCCAAGCCAGAAGCCAACCCTCCAGACAGCCTTTCTCACATAATTCCCACAAACGTTATCAATTCATAAACAGTGTAATTCCTGGGTTTGCACCAGCTTTTGAACCCAGCTCTGTGGGACTTCACACAATAGGTACCGTTCACCGAGCGCTTAGCTGGAACCGGGCAAGGCCTTACTGCAAAGGATCACGGGATACACGGAACTGACATGGAGGGAGCACTACAGCGGCAGGCCTGTCATTTCATTCGGTCCTAACCAACGCGACAATGTCTCAGTAGAACGATCTCCATTATGCACCTGGGAAACCAAGGGTCTATGAGGCCACAGGGGGCTCTGTGAGGATGGCAAGGCTAGGATGTGGGGTCAGATGGGGTCGCAGAGTCCAAGCCCCCTGCCCGACCCTCATAACTGTCCGGGTTCAGTGTCCTCATCTGCACAATCGAGGTGGTGGAGAAGACCAGGGGTTTTCAGACTTATTTCTGAGCCGTGGATGCTTTGTTCAAACGAAGCCTGAGGCGGTGGGGCAGCCCGGCAGGTGGATGAAGACACGGGGCTCCGCTGGCATGAGCACGGCGGGGCGGGGGCTGCCGTCCCACTAGCAGGGCTCCCGAGTCTGGGCCGTGCAGGGAGCAGACCGCAGACCCAGAGCTGGGCTGCGGCAACAGTGGAGTCCCCCGCCCCAGACCCCAGGCCCTGGGGAGGGGCAACTCAGTCGGGGGGGACCGCAGGCCTCACAGGTCCTCCAGGGTGGGGTTCTCAGAGCTCCGCAGCAGGGACAGCAGGTTCAGGGCCGAGACACCAGGTACGTGGCCAGCACAGATTTGCAGCATTCGCACCAGCCGCTGTGCGACCGGGGCTCGGAAGCCGTCCACCTGCCGAGGGAGAGCGGAGGATGGGGGTGAGCGGAAGCCGAGAGCGGGGGCCGGATTCGGGCACCACTGCCCATCGTGGCCAGGCCCCTGTCCACAGCCCGCCTCACCCAGCAGCTTCCAACTGCTCTGGCTTACAGAGCCCTCAGAGGTCCTCCAGGGACCAGGGATGCCGCAGACAGTGACCCCTCCTCCAGGGGAGGCGAGGCTTAGCAAGCACGGCTGGCCAAGGCAGGTGAAGGATCTAGCAGTCTCCAGGCTGGGATCTGAACCAGACCCAGCTCCAACCAACGTCCAGGAGGCAGAGGCCCTGAAGACCCTTTTACCTGGGCGTGGAAAAGAGGAGTGGACAGAGAGTGGCCCTCATGGGGACAGGGAGGTCCCATCAACAGGGTTCCTTTAATAGGGCTTTTGAAGGCAGGGGCCTGGAGGTGCCGTGGGGTGGGGTCAGGTAGGGCTGGCGACTCTGTCCCCGGGCATGGTGCCAGCAAGCAGCAAAGGAGATGTGACATCAGTGCCTGGCGAAGGCCACACGATGCTCAGTCGCCCTCCCCTGCCAACAGTCTCCGTGGGCACATCTCGTTGTCCTCCTCCTCCTCTAACTGGGGAAGGGGTTTTGCCATCTGACCAGTCACCCTCACTAGGGACCAGGCACCCTCAGTGTTGCTTGTGCTCCTATCTTTGTCGCTTGTGGCTCCTTAGTCCAAATCCAAAGGCAGCTGTCCTTCTCACCGAGTCTCTCATCAGACCCTCGTCAGCCACAGCGCTCCCGTCTCCAGAATGCTTCTCACCAGGCCCAGGATGCCACACTCGCCCCCTCCACACACACATCTAAGTGCTGCCCCTGGCCTTGGCCTTCGCAGGGCTGCTCCCCACACACACTCCCTGGGAAGCTCATCCAGTTCTGTGATCTAAAACCATCTCACTACCCACGATGCCCAGATTACATCTCCAGACCCTTCCTCTGAACGTCAGACACACGGACGTGGCTGCCTACTCGATTTCCGGGTACATGGCTGACAGACACCCTGATCTGATTAGCATGTCTCCAGTGCAGTCCCTGAGGGTCCTCCCAACCTGTCCCCTCTGCAGTCACCCCATCTCAGCCACGGGCACCTCCATCCTAACAGCGGCTCAGCTGAAAACCCTGGGGCCATTCTCTCTTTTCTCCTACGTCTCACACCCCGGCCACCCGCACAGTCGGTTGGCTCCACCCTGGAAAATGGTCCAGTGGTACAGGCCATCCTGCCTCCCCCTTCCCTGGGCAGCATGGAGCCCAGGCCACTCCTAACTCTTCTAGAAACAGCCCCCGGGCCCGCCTCCTCATTTCTGCCCTTGCTTTTCTTCCATTTACTCTCCTCCCAACAGCTGGAGGGATCCATTTAAACTTGCATCACATAAATAGAAAAGAAAAATAAATAAAACCCGTATCAGGCCCTCCCCGCCCCCACCCCGGCACCCTCCCTGCAGCTCCCGTCTTACACAGCCTGAAAGTCACCACCCTTACTAAGACCCACGAGGCCCTCCTGCTCTGGGGATGCGGTCACTACGACACAGCCACCACTACCCTGCCCTATGCTGTGCTCTGGTCTTCGGCCTCCCGGGGAGGGACCCTGGGCACACCAGGCAAGGCCCACACACCAGGCCTTCGCACTTGGTCCTCCGGCCTCCTCCCTCCAGCGGTCTCGGCGCCTGCCTTCCTATCGTCTTCAAGTCTGTTAAGGCCCCATTCACGGTCACTCGCGTCAACCCCACCAACCTTCACTGCATTTCCACCCGACACGCCACATGCTCACTTTCTAACACCCACACCTTTTACTGCTTTGCTTTGTTCCCTCCATGTCAACAGAGCTGGGGTTTTCCTCCTCCTTTTACACTCTTTTGTTCTATGCTGCGTGGCTAGTGCCTAGAACAGCGCTTGGCTCACTGGAGGTACCGAAGAAGTCTTTGTTGACGAAATCCGCTCCCTCTGAGATCTGTGGCCTTCGCCCCCGAATACAGCTCCGAGCTGCTGCTGCTGTCACTCAGGCTCCCCGGCTGGCCTCCTGCAGCAGCCTCGTCCCTGGCCGGGCCTCCTCCAATCCACACACCACACTCCGGAGCTGTGGCCCCAAACCCCAAATCTGACCACCCCAGGCTGCCGCGCCACCTGCAGGGAGGAACGACTTCATCCCACCGCCAGGCTTCCAGGTCTCGGCAAGTCCTTCTGCCGTGGCACACGGTGCCCGCGGTCTAGCTCCCCTGATTCTGCGGGGGCAGCCGCAACGCCTGGCCCGTCTTTGTGCTCAGGCAGCAGCTCCGGGCCCTATCAGCAGCGCTCGGAAATACAGGCACTGGGTCAATGCCCCGGCTTTTGGAATGTGTTTCTTTATGTGTGAACAGGACTGAAAATTCCTGCCGGGCAAGGCCTTAAAATACAGCAAGGCGCAAACTCAGGTATGTGGAGGGGTGTGTCCAGCAAAGGACAACACAGGTATGAGGAGTGATGACTGTCCAAACACCGGCTGCTTCCTCCGAAGGAATGCCAGCTTTACCTGGGGGCAGGCCTTCTCCTGGAGTCAGGCTCCCGCAGACCCCAGGACCTGGTGTGGCCTGCCACCTACTGGCCACAAGGGGAACTGCACCGCACAGCGCAAGGTCCTGGGCACCCCGCAGAGGGAACACCAAAGTTTGAGGTACCTGGGCTGTGGATCAAAGATTATGGTTCCCCTTTGGAGGTAAGGAGATGAAGGCTGCATGTAGGGGAAGTGACCTGTCCAAAGTCACACAGTCAGCAGGCTAAGAAGGGAAGGAGACAGCGGCTTGCAAATCTGCTGGCTTTCCCGTAGAACTTACTAGCTGCATGACTGAGCAAGTCGCCTCTCCTCTCTAGGTCTTGGGTGTCTGGGGTACATTGTAAGAAAAGCCTGGAAGGGCAGGCACTTCGGGCATGGCACAGGCCTCACGGTCCTATCTGACATCAGCGTGCTGACTTAAATAGTCACCCAATACGAAAACCGAATCTGTGACAGAGTAGTGCGTCAGTTTGTATCGATGCACTGAGTCAGGAGACCTGCCCCTCCCCTGACAAGATGGAACGTCTGCCGCTTCTGCTGGTAACAGACCCAGCCCCAGCTACTACTGCCGACCTCTCCTGCCCATACTCATAATGCTAAATTTCACGTACAGCTTAGTGGGAAAAAAGGAAGTATTTTTTTCTCATACAAGTTCACAGATCCCCCGAATTCTACCCTCAGACCAGAGGGGTCCACAAACCCATGAATAAGAGCCCCAGGTCTGGGTGCTGATAATGGAGAGGGTGCTGACTCGGTTCTCTCTGCGTTACGTCACTTGGCTTTTTGGGAACAGGTGCGAGACCCAAAACAGAGCAGAAACGCACCTCAAAACTAATAAACACACCCCACAATGAACTGAGCAGGTCTGGTACATGGGTGGGGTGGCCCAGGCCCTGGGAGTCCTCCACTGACCACCCAGTCCTCCGCTGACCACCACTTTTAGCAAAAGTCAGGATTCATACTGCAGGAAGAGAAGCAGGAGAGCAAAATGTATCAGCAAAACTGCTCTGTCATGCTCATAATTAGGATCACCCATGAGAAACCCCAACAGAAGTGAGCTGGGACAGAACCGACACCACAGACACCCTCCAAACCTCCAGCCACCCACTGCCCGGCCACTGCCGCTGCCTGCTGGATGCCCTGCCTCGCGCTGGGACTGGACCAGGCCTGTAGTCCAGGGGCATAAGGGGGGCAGTGGGCATTGTGACTGCAAGGACACGAGGCAGCCCTGGTTAATGAAACAGACAAGATGCCTGGCCTCACAGCACTGACAGCCCGGCAGGAGAGTAAGACGGTAACGAGGACCCACACACACAGACACGAGACTTGGTTATGAGAGAAAACAAAGCAATGCAAGGCACAAGCCATAGCGCCTGGCATCTCGGAGGTGCTCAGGTTGAATGTGTATCATCGCTCTGCTTTGCGTTTGTGCCCCCCACCGCTTAGGCTGACTGTTGTACCCGAGGTACAGTGAGCCGCAAAGCCAGGATTCAGATCAGGATCTTGTGTCTTCACATCAGGATCCCCTGGCTCGAGCACTTGATGACCCTCGGAGAAGCGTTCTTGACACACCCACGGAGCGCTGACAGCCCTCTCCCTGCGCCCCCGCGATCAGCATCCTCACCTCTGGGTCACAGAAGAGCAGGGGGCTCCGGTAGGTGCGGGCCAGCCTCACAACGGTGCTCCGGTGAACGCTGCAGTGGCTCTCCCGGCCAGCTGCAAAGAAGCCGTGAGTGTGGCAGGTTGGAATGTCTGCCTTGGCGGCCGTGAGCCAGGAGGCACTGGGCAAACTCATTCATCACCCCTTTCCCGGCCTCAGCTGCCTGTTCAACCTGCTTTTCGTCAAATTAGAACATAATTTGTTCTCAAGCTGGGAGGCCTTGGAGAGAGTATGCTCTAGAAACATGAGTTTCTTCATCTCGAAGATGAGGATGGGAATAGCCCTCAGGACTACAGAGATTCAGTGAATTAATCTATAGGGAATTCGTCAATGCTTACTGAGCATAATCTGTACCAGCCACCGCACAGCCTGGGGAGTTCACAGCTCAGCTGGGTCGGGGCGGACGGCGAGGATGCACCACCGGTGGAGGAGGGAGGGTGGGGAGTCTATGGGACGGACTCCCAGGGGCCCAGACTGCAGGGCCGGTCAGGGAGCTGTCGCCCACGAGATGGGAAATGGGGGTTAGCGAGGCAAAGAGGAAAAGAGCATTCATGAGAAGCTGTAGAATATAGTCACTAAGGACGTGGGCTCTAGAAGAGGGCTCTCTGGGGCACCTGGGTGGCTCAGTGGGTTAAGCCTCTGCCTTCGGCTCGGGTCATGATCCCAGGGTCCTGGGATCGAGCCCCGCATCAGGCTC